TGCAGGCAGTGAACTTGATAAGACCCTGTCTCATTAGATTACTTCTCTGCTACATTCCAGCACAGCCCTGTGTGACTGCCTATAACATACCAAGTTGAAATCCCGTGACATGGTCCCACAAGGCGCTCTCTGCACAGACCTTCCCCATGTCTCTCCATGGATCTGGGTCACTTCCCCCTTGTGTAGCTGCCCAGGTTCCAGTCATATCCAAGCCATTTTCCTCCCTGACCACATGGTTTTTTATGTGTGGCTAGATACTTGATCTTTTCTCTTCCCAGGGTTCCCCTCCTACATGTACTTCTCACTGGTTGATTTTGTTTCAGGATCACCTCATCCGACTCTCCACTTCCCAACCTCAGGATCTTGGGCTTTGCCACAACTTCCTGTGGGGCCCCTAGAGTGTTGCCATCACTCTCTCGCTTGACATTGAAATAATTTAGCGGCATGTCTGTCTCCTCCACTAGGCTATAAGCTTGTTTGATGGCTGAGATTCTCCTCATGTACCTTTGTAACCTGGTGCTCAGCAGACAATAAAGGTTGAACTTAAGGATCATGTTACTAATAAGTATTTGAGGTGTGACTGTAATCCAAAGGAATTTGGGTTGAAATAAGGTCTTCTTAGGGCAGCTTTTGGTCAGATTATTCCTGTTTAGCCTCTTTATCCTCGGGCTGATGAGCTCTGCTTATCAGCTGATTGGAAGGTTCATGGAGCCACTACTCAGGGTCATCACTGTAGGTGTATACAGAGGAGAGAGCTTAGACTTCTCAGCCCTGTGTGGTTATGGACTTTTCTCTTTGGATTTGCATGATGGCAGAAGTGTCACATTTAGGATCACCATGAAACTTTTAGTAACTGGGGGGGTTTACCTTTTATTGCACATAAAGAGCAGAAGGCAATTCCTTTTCCATTTGCCATTTTCAATTACTTGTTACTCAATTTTCAGGTGTGGGGCAGCAATCATGTTACTCTCCTCCTTAGTTTCTTCAGTAAAATAAAGAGGTTGCATAGATCAGAGATTGGTACTCTGCAACCCAGAGAGTTCCCTATAGGAAATTTCTAAACATCTATGCTATCAGAATTTTCATTAACATTTTATAGTCTTTCACAACTCATATATAATTAGAAAAACTTCAGGAAACAGTATAAAATTATTTCCAAACTCATAACACACAGCTTTTTTTCTTTAATGAAAAACAAATTTTCTATTATACTACATTTTTTCTTCCTTTGGAATATCAATCAGTGTGAGCCTGGTGTTGTGGCTCATGCCTTTATTCTTAGCTGCTTAGGAGGTGATGAATTGGAAGACCATAGTGAGACCCTATCTCAACAACAACAACAACAACAACAAAGGCTAGGTTTGGTGGTGCGCATCTGTCATCCTAGGCATGTAGGAGATGCAAATAGCATCACTGTGATCCATGTTGATCCTAGCAAAAATGCAAAACTGTATGCAGAAAAATAACTACAGTAAAAAGGGATGGGGCAGAACTTAAATGGTATAGTTCCTACCTAGCAAAGTGGAGGCAATGTGTTCAAACTTAATACCACAGGAAATTAAAAGAAAATAAACAAATAAAACATTAGCATGTAATCATGACACTGGCTGCAAATTGAAATGGGCTTATTTGCTAGGCGCCCATGGATTACATGGCCCCTTGGAATCCATGAGAATGATACCCAGAATGGGATTGGATTGATCCGCTGCTGGTAGGATCACAGGCTGAGTGTTTTTTCCTTCCTTTTTTCCATCCTTCCTTCCTTCCTTCCTTCCTTCCTTCCTTCCTTCCTTCCTTCCTTCCTTCCTTCCTTCCTTCCTTCCTTCCTTGCTTGCTTGTCTCACCCTTGCTCTACACCTGGCTTTCTGCCAGCTGCCTTTGGTCTCATTTCATAGAGTCCACTTTCACCATCTTGCTCTGTCCAGTCTCTTAAGGCCATTTGTAACCTCACATGGCTCAATGTCTGGTGGATGAGGAGCGCATTTCTTGTGGCTACACCTGAAAAATCATGATGCTTTTATTCTCTGGATGTGTGGAAAACAGAATTTTGGATATAGGTATGGTCATCTTGTCCATGAGTATGTCTGCTCTCAAAGGGAGATGAGAAACAGCAAAGTAAGTATCTCACTGAGCAGAGAGACTTCTAGGTCTCCATCCAACTTCTCTCACAGAGCTTGACACTAGGTGAGAGGAAGGCGTGCTGGAATTAGTGGACTTAAAGGCAGTATTTTTTACGAATCCACAGTGCAGTGTACTAGAGTCATCTTTCTCTTTGTTTTACATTTTCTCACTGATGTAAATTGGTTCTATTTTTCCCATTGAAATGAATGCTATGATCTTTCTTTCTCCATAGATTGATGCTGTCTTCTTTGTACTCTTAGCTGAGCAGGAGGTCCAGGACTCCTTTGGTTGTGCTTTTCAGCACTAATGTTTATGGGCCACACAGGGTTATCCAACACAATGCAGGGGCACTGTCCTTTAAGTGGACTTTAATTTTTGCCCTCATGTTAGAGTGTAGTCCAGTGATTGAATCTATGGAAGGGACATAGCTTACTTTATTTTTTAATACATTTTTTATTGTAAAAACACTGTACAGAGGGGTTACAGTGTTGCATGAACAAAGTAATGAGTACATTTCCTATCAAACATTGTTACTTTCTCCTTTGTAAAACATAGTTCACTTTAAAAGGCAAGAAACGTGGAGGGCAGGATGAGAGGCAGTTACAGACCTGACTAACAGAGTTCCCATTATACCTGTTAGGCCCCACTAAAGGTAGATGCTGCTTGCCCTTTACTCAAAGGCTAATACCACAGAAGTGATTGCACCCAGCACACCTGATTTGGAAGGGTATATGTGGATACATTCATATAGTCATCCCTTCCTTCATGAAATGGGCTGTGCCTGATCTGAGAATAGGGACTATATAATCCATGCCCCTTGCAGTTACTAGAAGGGGGCATTGCCTCTCTCTGAGAGCTCTGTAACTTTGATGCTTATGAGCTGCTTAACATACTTATGACTGTTCTAGACTCAGCCTGGTCCTAGCTCTACACTTGTATTTTGAATCTTCCTGTTAGACTTTCTTCACACTCACGCAGAAGGGACCACCTGCCATTCTGGGTTGCTTGGCAGCCTTTTCTCCCACATGCCTCTATGATTGTTTGAGGACAGCTTAAAGTATAAGGATAATTGCTTCTATTAGAGGAACCCAGGTCATTAAAAACCCAAGAGATCTCCAGTTGAGCCAGAGGTGGCAGGACCTCCCTATGCTCTGTGCTGGTGGGGGCTATGCCACCCTTATTGGCATATCTCCAAAACTGAGGTGACTAAGAGGAGGAAGGAGAAGCTTTGGGAGCTCACGAGGGAAGGTAGAGGATTACATATAGATGGAGCCTCTTACTGTCTTCTTGCTGACATAGGGTGGGCTCTAGAGGGGTTTCAGGCTTCTTTTCCTGATTCATATGCAGAGTCTCCTGTCTTTTTCATTACCTGGTTTTCAGGCAGTAGCACACTTGGACTTCCCTTCCTTGGCACTCATAGGCTCGTAGTACATCTGCACCATGAGTGTGGTAGTGGAGAGTCAGGGGAAGAGTTGGAGACTTTGTCACCCTTTCTCATCAGTCTATCCTACAAGTAAATGTGTATAGCCTTATCAACACTACCTATCATTCAACTCAACCTAGTAGATGTGGATTAGTTTACTCAATAATGGCAGGGCACATGCTCTCTTCAACTGTATACCAAGTATTCATCAAGATAAGCCATCTTCAGATTAGGAAGTTAGCCTTAATAAATGCAGAAAAACTGATATCTTCAAATATATGCTCTGCGTATATATTTAACTAGAAATTATTAACAGAAAGATATCTAGAAAATTTCAAATATTCACCAGTTAGGCAATATATCTCTAATAAGACATGGGTCAAAAGAAAAATCTCAAGATCGTTATTCCTGAATGAATTTAATGAAATATCCAACATTAGTGACTTTAGAATGAAAACACACACCAAAATTTGCAGGAAATAGCTAGAGCAGTGCTTAGACATTTAAAGCATTTGATATTTAGTTTTAAGTGAACAAAATAAAATTGTTTCAAATCAGTTAATTAAATTTCTGTCTTAAGAAACTAGAGCCAGGTGCTGATGGTTTACATATGTAATACTACCAACCTCTCTGTGTTTGGGGGCGTGGGAGCTAAGGCATTGGGAGGATTGAAGTTTGAAGTCATACCCAATGTCTTTTTTTGATGACTGGTCCTGTGTGGACTTGATCTCCTCCCCTGATAACTCTGGCCTCATTAGTGCATGTGAAATGTGGCCCACTGAACAGTGAGATAATAGAAGTCTGTGCAAAGCTTGATTTAGGGAATTCTGAGAGACTGGCATCCCCTCTTGCCTTGCTCTGGGCCAGGATTATTCTTATATATGCATGTACTCAGGCTCAGACAAAGGAAGACTGGCTTCCTTCTCGGAGGACCACTGCATAACCTGGGGAAGTCCACTAGTCTGTACATCCACTATCTATGCTGCCCTTGGGTGTCTTGTGCTGCCTGGGAAATGGGGGTCCTAGGAGTGTTTGAGGTGACCAGCAGACCCAGGAAAAGGAGGGAAACAGACTTCTGAGCCAAAAGCATGATTTTGCCAGGGCTGTAAGCCAGGAAGGAGACATTCTGTTTATCTGAATTGATTTTCTTGGTGTAATTGGCCATCAAATGACATGATCTGTAAACTGTATGTAGATAGAGATGTGGAGAGAAGGGGGCTAGCAAGTAAGTGAGAATCTGGGCAAGCCCTTCTCTACAACTCTCATGTCCACTCTCCCTGCCCACCTGTTACACAACAGACATAGTTCTTGCTACTGTTTGAAGGGAGGGCTGTGTCCTAATAGAATAGAGGTAGATTAGTCACCTAGATTGTATGAGTTCTGTTCTCTTCATATCCTCTTGTGTTTGTACCATTGGTTAAGTCAGTTCAACGAATTGTTTTGTTATTTATTTCAGAAAAACTCTACAACTCCAGTGGACGAGATTTAAGAAGGGCCCTTTTCTCCTTGAAGCAGATATTTCAGGTAAAAAGTAAAAAAGTAAAAGTACTCTTACGTTGTATTTTTGCTTTGCTACTGAAGTATACCTGCTGGGAGCAGGTATATATATATATTACATTGTGTTTTTGCTTTGCTATTGAAGTATACCTGCTGGGAGCTTATCTGGTATTTATTACATATAGGAAATTATGAATTAAGTCAGAATCTCTGAAGAGAATATTTTAGACATAAAATAAAGATAACTGATGATAGTTATAACTGAAGTCCTTCCTTATGTTTCCCAGTATCAATCAACCTTCTTCCCAGGCCACCATCTGGTTGTTGAATTTGATGTTCACCAACAGTAGGAGATAATATTTTGTGTTAACTTCATATGTATGCTATTATGCTCCGTGAATCTGACTACAGCTTACTTAATGGAGGGTTGGAATGGGTGCAGGCCTGACTGACCAGAGCTCTAGTTGAGTATTACATTGTTGTGCATTTAGCACAAAGTATTTTGTACATTCTGCTGTTGTGTATGTGTCCCCTCATCTGCACATGCAAGTCTTCCTCTCTGGTTCCATGTATCCTTCCCTCTTGAGCCTTTTTCTCATCCCTACCCTGAGAAAGTCACAAGCCTGTTGGAGTGATGTGCAACAGATGTGCAGGCAGAGATTGGACAGATGTGTAGACAGGTCCCAAGATAATCAAAGACAAGAGGGCAGGATGAGCAGTGAGTGTGTGAAGGTGACTTTTGCACAGAGCATGTCCATCTAGATCCGCTTTTTTCTGTCTCTTGTGAATTTGCACTTGAGGATACCGGCCATTTCTCTTCAGTTCCTGATTTACCTGTATTAAGTGATTGGGTGGATTAGGTGCAAGAAGTAATTGGCAAAAATACAGACCAAGAAATTCATCTTATCTCTCCATTCTGTGCTATTTTTCCTTCAGTTCATTCCATCATGCCACCCAGGACAGGATCCTCTTTCTTGTGGACATATCTGGAGACAAGTCCTCTTGTCCATCTTCCCACAGTCCCTGCCTAGCTCCATCCTGGCACACATCTCAGAAAGGTCCTTGTGTAGAGGCCAGTGTTGGTTCAGGCCCATCCTTTTCTCACCTGGAAAATGTTACTGCCTGCCTCTGGAGCCTCCCCCCACCCCCAGTGCATCCTTAGCTCCCCACCACAAGGAGCTGAGGTGGTTCCTCTCTTGTTGGGTCTATGTTGCCTTCTGGATCACATCGGAATTTCTCAGTTTAACATTGAGAGCTTTGATGTGGCCTCTGCCTCTCTCTCCTTCTGGCTACATTCCAAGTTGTTCCTGCAGCTGTACACCATGAGAAGGCCATGATCTTTGTCTTTCACACCTCTGCCCCTAGGCCCATAGTAACACAAGATACTTTCCTGACCCATCCCTTCTCTCATGCCTGTTTTCCCTCCTGCTGGCGATGCTCTCTCCAACTGGTCGCTCTTCCCTAGTCAGCATCTCTTTAAAGTACCCTGTGCTTACTCCTAGTGCAGGACTTAAGGTACCCCATCCAGGCCCTTTTTTGAGGCCAGTAGTTTGCTAGTTCCATAGATTTTATCACCAGGTCTTGAGTGCCTTGCACAGTGTCTGGTACCATTTAACAAATGAATGGATAGACTGAATTGAATGGTCTTATGGAAGATGTCTGTGACTTCAGGCTTTCCTGCCTCTACGTTAGGGAATGTTATGTACTTAATTGTATCAAAATTCTACTTCCCTTGTATACCTCTGTGCCTTCACATTACTCATAATAACCAGACAAAACTTTTTTCCTGCCATTGAGCCACACTCTTGCTAAGTGCTCAGAGAGGCACATTCATCCTGCTGCTCATTCTATCTCACCCAGCACTCAACCTGCCTCTGGTCTCTATTACTAGTCTTTGACTATTTCCCTGATTAGGTATGCAGTTAGTGGCAGAACCATACAGAGAAGAGCTATTTCAAGTAGTTTAAAAAACTGCAGTTTGGATATATTCAGTAGGATAAACTTTTAAGAACAAAAAGAAACAGAGTTGATTAATATAGCATTATTAGTAGTAACAGTGTTGGCATTACAATTCTGAGACTTGGGTTTGTGAGATTCTAATTCTGCCATTCTTCGAGTTCTTAAAAATAGGAGTATTAAGGTTAAACTCTGTTGTCTTGGACTCAGTTGGAAGTATCAGAATATCCCTATAGTGTATGCTAAGCCAGCAAATAAAGCATATGTTTAAAGTGTTTATTAACATTAGCAAATATATTTATGATTTATTTAGAAGCAAGAGTCAGTTCATTAGCAAAAAGTATCACTAGTAGAGAGATATTGGCCTAGAACATCAAAAAGAATAACAGTCCCTAAAAGAAGTAGTTGATGCTGTCTTTAGTAGGATATTACATGCTTAACAATCTTTAATTATACAAAGAGCAGGAAGCTACCAAATATTACTAAAATTATTTCTCAAAGCACTGAGCAACAATTGAAAGGTTTCCCACTGACTGTCTAGAAATAGGACAATAAACAATGATGAAGATGACAGTTGCAATGGATCCAAACACATCAAATACGTATGGGCTTATAATGATACTAAAAAATAACAATACATTGGTAGAATGACTATGAAATGTATACCAGTAACCTAGCTCATTCCAAGAAAATGTTAGTGAACTAGGTATTTTGAAAATGAGCAAAGTTTCAGAATCTCATATTCATCTTGTCTTTCCTTTATGGACTTTAGGATAATTAAGTAGTCAAGGGGAAGTGTCATTTGCAGAAATAGTCTAGCTAATGAGTACAGAGTAATAGAAGGTCACCTTTTTTGTAACACCTTATAAACAAATGGGCCTCTGTATTGAGCATCAAGAGTTTCTAACATGATAGAAATGAGGTACAACCAGACATTGTATACCTCCTGAGGGGAATGCAAACTTCAGTGTGATCAAACCAACAAATCAACCCTGGATTTGACCATGCTGTTATATGAAACAACCAATTATAGATGATATAGGCAAATGATAATCTATGCCACAGAAGAATAACAGTAAAATCCACTGTGGGCTACTTTAAAGGTCCAGTGACCTGGTTTCTTCAACACACAGTTATTAAGAAAAAAAGAGAGAGAACCCATGAATTAAATGACTTTTCAAAGATATGTGCTGGTGGTTCATGCCTGAAAACTTAGCTACTAGGGAGGTTGAGATTGGGGGAATCAAGATTTGAATCCAGCCCAGGCAAAAAAAAAGTATGTGATACACCCTCTCAATTATTAGCTAGGCCTGGAGGCACATACCTATTATCCCAGCTATATCAAGAAAACCTAGAATAGTTGTATTGAGGTCCAGGCACACAAATGGGAAAGCAGTGAGACCCTGTGTCACACGTAACCAGCACCAAACAAGGCTGGAGGCACTAATCTAGCAAGTGCTCTGAATTTAAACTCTGTTACTGCCAAAAGAAAAAAGTTTCAAAGTCATGTCAACAAATTGCCTTGTGTGTACAAAGCTGTATTATAGATAAAAGTTGGAAATTTGGTCAATGTTGGACATTTGATAGTGACTTTAAAAAGTATGAAATCACTGTCAGTACCAATTTAAAAAGTTCCAAGTCAGGTGCTTGTACATCACACCGGTAGTCCTAGCTACTGAGGATATGAGGACCACAGTTTGAAGCCAGCCCAAGGAAGAAAAGTCTGAGACATTTTTTCTTTGTTTTTGGTTGGTTGTGGGGCCTGAACTTTGGGCCTCGGCACTGTTCCTCAGCTCTTCAGCTCAAGGCTAGCGCACAACCACTTGAGCCACAGCACCACTTCCAGCTTTTTCTGTTTATGTGGTGCTGAGGAATGGAACCCAGGGCCTCATGCATGCTAGGCAAGCACTCTACCACTAAGCCACCTTCCCAGCCCAGTCTATGAGACATTTATCTACAACTAATTAGCAAAACATAAGACATGGAGCTGTGGCTCAAGTGGTAAAGTGCTCAAGGGCAATGTCCAGGTCCTAGGTTTAAGACCTAGTATAAAAAATAGTTTCTATAGTTTGGAGATACATATTGGAACAATATGGATTAGTTGATGTGACTGGGATTTGCTTCAGATTGACAGATGCAGTGCAACAGGCCTAGTGGGTATGGGAGCTATAGTTCCTTAAGCTATTTTGTTATCTTTCGTATCTGATTAAGGTTGTTTTTTTTATTGAAAAGTTAAGAAAACAAATATGTTCATAGTTGTTACATTTATTTTCAATCTTCCACCTTTGGGTGTGTTCCATGAGGTCTCAGGACTGTAATTTCTACTGTTGACTCACTAAACAAATAATTTTTTTTTGGTTGGGCATGGGGCTTGAACTCTGGGCTTGGGCACTGTCCCTGACCTCTTGAGCTCAAGGCAAGTGCTCTACCACTTGAGCCACAGCACACTTCTGGCTTTCTGGTGATTAATTGGAGATAAGAGTCTCACAAACTTTCCTACCCAGGCTGGCTTTGAATCATGAGCCTCAGATCTCAGCCTCCTGAGTAGCTAGGATTACAGGTGTGAGCCACTGGCATCTAGCTAAACAAGTCCTTTTGAATAGCCTGATTGGCACTGTGTAGGCAAGGGTGAAGGTGCTGGCTCCCCAGAAGTTATAGACTAGAAGACCACAAAACATTAGGTAGCAAGGCACTGGAGATGGTTGGCATCACACAGGCAGCAAACTGTTTAAGACTTACTTGGTTCCTTCTGTACCCATGGGTCCACCTTTCTCTATTCTCTCTAGTGTTTTCTACTCGGGCAGGTTCTTTTAGGAACTAGACTTTAAAGGCTTAATTAACAGAGTCATTGGCCATCTGGATCAAGTTGAATATTCCCTAATAGACATTTTAAAAAGAATCATGGGCTGATAGGCAATATTATTTTTTAATAAAGTGATAATCACTTATCACTTAGTGCTAACATTTTTGTTTTATTCAAGCTTGAAATGAATGTTATAAAAATTGTTAATGCTTATGTATTTTAGGATCTGTATTTAAAACCAGGCAAGACCTTGCCAATAGGGAAAATTTTTTTCCCCTCTCTATTTCTTATCCATGAGCTAAGTACCTTATCGACATATGTGCATGCATTTTAGTTATGGTTTTGAATTCTTTATAAACACTGTCTCGCCTGTCCTGTGTTTTTTTTCTGATTGAGTGCCTTTGCCAACAGTCAGTTTGCTGGTAAATGAATATTAGTGATTAGCTTGAGCAGTTTCTTGAGTGATTGTTCTCACTTTTTCAATGTGAAGTCATGTGTGAATCTAGTTTTAGTTAAAGTAATAAACATTTGTTACATGCTTGGAAAAAAACCTTCTGACTAGACATGAGCTCATCTAAAAGTCCACTTTTCACATGTGCTGGTGGAAAAGGATATGGTGGAGAGAGAATTATTTTTTTATTTCCTTTATACACATATGAGTGTAAAGTAATTTTCCAAAAACTCATGGTATTGTCCCATTTTCTCTTTCTTCCACAGCCGTGATTATCTCAAAGGCTGAGTTAACACAGCTGTCTTTCATTATTTTCGGGGCACAGGCATCACTCCCCCTTCTCCTCGCCAGCTCTGACCCTGGAGTGCTGTGTTTCTTCCCAGGGACCCTTTGCTGCGTCTACCCACATTTTAGCTCAAGACCCCAATCCATATAATTGAAAAATGCCATCACAGAAAGAAAGGGTCTGATTTCATGTAGAGACAGGAGAATTATGCCAGTTCATGTATTTTTTTTTAAAAGAGATGAACCATGGTTGCTGACTACTACTGTAATAACCTTTCATTATTCCATTAAGATTTCTACTCTTCGCATCATTGTGATTTCTTATTTTTGCCCATTATAACTGAAGATGGATGTTCCAGTCTTTTCTTAGAGGTTCTTGAGACAAGGTACTGTCCAACCCAGGAAATCTCCACATCTCTGTAGAGGAAGTGGTAGAAAAATCTGTCTTCTAAAGCTCTTCAAAATTGATGGGGTCTGTGGGCTGGCCAGACATCATAGTTCAGTGGTCTTGGCTGTGTGTGTGTGTGTGTGTGTGTGTGTAGTTTTATATACTCTATCTTTAAAGATAAAATCTAGTACCAGATCTGAGGTTCTTGAATGAGAGCTGCCCCTTAGAACTTCTAAGGAATGTAATAGCAGAGCCTGAGCCCCACCCCAGGAATTCTGATTAAATCCATCTGCATAGGGTTCTGCTCCCTAGACTTTCTAAAGCTTCTCAGACAATCCTCCTGTGAAGGTGCTGGGGTGAGAACCATCTGTATGAACCTCCATATCACCTGGAGACCTTGTTTCTCAGCCTTCTGAGTCAAGCTGCAGTCTAGGCAATTTATATGTCTAACAAGTTCCCAGGTGAGGCACCTGCTACCTCTCTGTGGGTTGGTTGGCCAGTTTAGGGAGTTCTCTTTGAGAACCATTAGATTGGATGATCACTGAGTTTCGTTCCCTATGTCCTGCCTTCTGCTGAGACCGAGGTGGCCTTTCTACAGGAGAGTCTCCCTCCTCCAGGTGGGTGGCTGGGCCTTTGGCATGATTCATCTTGTGCCCTGCAAGAAGGACAGTGCAGGAGGTGAGAGAAACTGCCTTTTTAGCTTCTCAAAGAATATTTACAAGCCCCTTGTAACTGCCATCCCCAGGACTGTCTGCTGGTAACTGAAAAGGGCTTTGAGTCCTTCTCTGGATGGTCTGAGCTATAATTGAATGTTTCCTGTGGTTAAAAACCCAGCAAAGTTCCATGTGGCCCAGTCTCTTGGGACCTATGGAGGGCCTGGAGTCTGGTAACTTCTGAAGAATGAAAAACAAAACACTTTAAGTATTTCTGACAGGCAAGGGATTCGTTTTCTTTATCTTTATTAGATTGCCCAGAAGGCAATAATTGGTCCTTGACAAACAGCAACGTAAAGACTAGCTGCAAAATTCCTCTGGCAAGAGTTAAGATGCTTCATTTGAATAGAGCAGAAAATCCTTAGGGGCCATTCTGGCTTCAAAGGCTACAATATAGTTTGAACAGTGATGTCTGGATGGAAGATGGATGGAGACTGTATTTGGAAGTCATTTTTCTTTTCTTTCTTTCTTGCCAGGATGACAAGGATTTGGTGCATGAATTTGTGGTGGCTGAAGGCTTGACATGTTTGATCAAGGTGGGAGCTGAGGCTGATCAGAATTATCAGAACTACATTCTAAGAGGTAAGCCACACTAGACATGCGGCTGCCGGGCCTTTTCTGTGGAACTTACACACTGTGAGCCTTGTAAGGTACCTGGAGTCAAGGAAAAGATACATGGTGGTAAAAGACAACATCTTCATGAGATTTAGGGATTTCTAGTAATTACCTAGTGACAGCTAGTTTTACTCACTTTGACTTGGAGTCTCTTTTAGGCTAGTAAAAGATACAACTAACAGATTCTTACAGTCTTATCTGAAGAGGCAGGAATGCCTTAATTGGGCTCAGGTAGCATGTGCTACCTGAGAAGCCAATTGATTTCTTGGAAGAAAATATTTTCCCCACTTGGAATTATTACCTGGGACTTTCATCAAAGTGTCCATTCCTCATCTTCTCCTGTGTCTGAATAGGTCTGGGAACTTGCATGGAAAAGGATGATTCTCAATGTCATTGATTCTCTTTGCCATTCTTGTGAAAGCATTTTCAAGCATGGATTCCTGTTCAGATAGCCAATGAGTTTTCATAGTAGTAGTGATGTTTGTGCACTTGTGTTAATTTGATTCTGCCACAACAACAAAAAAACAACATCTCCTACACAGCTCTACACAAAAACTGGATAAGAACTGCAGGAATGATTGCTGCTATGAATAGTTTTGATCTACAGAAGGAGAGAATTCATGTAGTTCAATATTTCTGTTTTTCTAGTTGAAAAAGTTGGAGAAGTTGAGCCTTTTGCTTAATGAAGATACTTTTTTTGAGTGTGGCAAGCAGAGGCTCTGTCCAGGTCCTGGGGCCTGTCAACATGGGTCAGGATTTGCCTCTCAGTTTCTGTGTTATTACCCTACATACTGCATGTTGGTGTTCATATAAAACACCCCAACTCCCTCCTTTTTATTTCCTTGGATGAAGGGAAATGTAAGAGATATGTGATTTAATCAGATGTCCCTGGTTAGAGCTGAATGAGTCAAAGAGGGAAAGCATTTCATCTGTCTTGTTTTGAATGGTTCCTTATGTTCTGGGTGGTTATCCAGCAGATCCTAACAGACTTTTCTGCACTCTTGGAAAGCCATATAAGAGAAGACATAAAAAAGAAAACATAGGTCTCATGTCATACAATTTTCAGGTCAGTGTTGTTTTCATTAGTTTTGGTAAAATGCCATGTGTGTGAGGGTAGGTCTGCTCCTCGGCCTCTCATTGAGCTTAGTGCTGTATGCATGGCTATGTTTGTGAGGTGGGGCAGTAGCCTCCTTGGGTTATTTTCTATTTTTCCTCTGGCTTCTCACAGATCCTCATGAGTTGTCAGGAAGGATGCATGACTGACAAGGTTTATGATTTGTGTCCTTCATACTATGTAAGCATTTACAGGGAAGCCATACTTTGGTATGTAGACAAATGTAGCACAGCCTTTGTCCTGCTGTTATATCCAGAGATGGCTCTTTCTGTATCCAAAGAGACAGGTTAGGCTTGAATTCCTATTCTCCCATTTCCATTTGTAATATTCTAACTCCTTAAAGAGGGGAAAGGCCTAGAAAGAGGGAGGAAAACTTCCATTGGTTTATTTTTCTCATTCATCATATGAACATTCATAAGTTGAACTTCATGACAGGAAATATACCTAAAGTTGTCTCATTATGAATAGTCCAAACTGACATTATGTTTTTGATCATGCTTAAACTATGTATCATTTCAAATTTACCAAAAAAGTCATCCCTGACACAGAGAAAAAATCTATAGAGGTAATATTATAACCATCCATAGGCTTCATTATTTCTTGGAACTTCATCTTGGAGCATTGATGTTCATTTTAATAGAGTAAGCATCTGTCTTCATCTATTTCAGTCTAGGGCATATCTCTTTCAGCTATGGTCAGCTCCCATTTATCAGAAAGGCAAGAATTTTCTCAATACCCCACCTCCCAGACTTCACATGGATTAGAGGTGGATTGCATAACCACCTATAGCTGCAAGAGAGGTGAGCAAAGTTAATGGAAGAGGCAGCCAGGAAGAAAGCTAGCTTTGGGCCTGAGAGTGATCAGACCTAGCCATGTAATGGTTAGGACAAGGAAATGTTGTGTAACTGAGAAACCCTCCCTAATGAGCAACAGTGAGTGTCTGTCAATGGCCTTCACATTGCTCACCAAATTATTGTCCAGCTTCATGACGCTCAGTGGCTTATATCACATCTCAAATGGTAGACTGGTTTGAACTGTGCTCCCCAGCAACAGAAGGTGTGTTGACATAGAGAGTACACTCTGCCTTAGTGATTGTTAAATCTGTAGCTTTTGTGTTGCTCTGATACATGCTGTCAGAACAGAATGTTGATGGATCAGAGCACTGGCAACTACCTGCTGCTTCTCTATCCACACAGAAAATGTCAGAGCAAGGTAAGAAAACCTGGTCTCGTTTTTGACATGACAACTTGTACTTCTCATTGTTGCAACAGGTCCACCTGTATCCTTAAACGACTTGTTTTTCCCCATCTCCTCCACAAATTATACTGACATCAAATATAGTGAAAGCAAGGGTTATACTGTGGGGGAGGGACATACAAAGCAACAAAGAGATAATCTTATAAATGCATTAGAAA